TATAAAATTGTAAATATAAATTTCAACAAGTCTAACGGAACGATAAGTTAATGAAAATTCTATAAATCCTAATATTCTAGCTGCAGTTTTTAATGAAACTTTCTTAAACACACTATCAAATATATATTTTTTCATTATCTTATTTTTCATAATCGTGTTTAAAGAATAAGGAAATAATACCGATATCCTATCGTACATATCTATAATAGTATCTTTGACTCGATCAGACGTCTCATCGAAGAGTTTTGTGAACTAATGTGTTCTGTAATAATATTTCTCGGTTGATATGAACTTATTCACTTTAATAAATGCATTAATAGTATTATTTTTTTCTTCGATTATCTCATCAAATTCATCGATAAGTTCTTGACGTATTAGTCTTAAACGCTTAAGCAATTCTACAAGACTCGGTTCATCTGCCATCGATTTAATAATTCTGTCAAAATCGGGGAAAAATTTATTCCGTTTCATAATAAAGATATAAATAGTACAAACTCGCTTTATATAAAATATATAAAATAACAATGGGCAAAGTAGCCAACACAAAACTTAAAAAATTCATAAGAAACTCAGTTGATAAAAAAGATCTAATCGAAAAATTAACAAATTACGATCCCGATTATGTGATAACAAATCTAACAAATATCGAACGATTAGCTGATATATATTACAGCGATAACAAAAAAACAACAAAATGAAAAAGAAAAACAAAAAACGAAACAGAGGTTCAAAAAAAGCAAACAAACTACCAATTATTCATTCAAGATAATTTTCAAAACGTAAGAGAAGCATGTGAGACGAATTCTGAAGCTTTGAAAAAGATTGCTGAAATGTGGAAGACCAGTTCTGAGAATCCAAAAATGGATCAGGATTTGAAATATATAAATACCAAGTTTCCCTATTAAAATAAAATAAATGGTCTCTCAAGATTTCAATTTTTGCGAACGATATAATAGAAACAAACTAAAACTCGACTTGGCAAATTCTTATTTACAAATTATCCTTTTAGTA